TGACATGGGTATGTGTCTCTTCTCTCACTGACTCTAAATATGTTGTGTCTTGAATTGATTGGCTTGTGGATGTTGAAACATTCTTGCATCCCTTTTATGAAATCAACTTGAGTTCCTTTCTACATCCATTAGAGAGAATCTCTTTGTTACTGCAACTGGTCTGATTTTTCCTTTGAAGATGTTCTTATCCTCATCTGCTTTCTGTATCACGGTAAAGCCATCTTTGTGTAATGATAATCTAGCATTCCTTTTCCTTCAACTTTTCAGTAATACTTTTCTGTGGAGGATTAGTATAGAAATTTGTAAAGGAATTAGAGAAAGAAGGGGATCCCCGCACAGTGAGAGCTCCCTCTAGAACCCTGCAATTGGCACAAACCACACCCAAACACTTGTTTTCACAGAGAAATCTTTTATTGAGCAGGAAAGAAAAGCTAAAATGACTTCTTTCTGACTCAGGCTGAAAAACAACAGCAAATGCCCTTGCTGGTGGAATTCTTTATTAATTTTTTTAAATTTAACTTTATTTTTATGTACATTGTTATTTAGCCACGGGTGTCAGGGCCCCTGGAACTGGACTTACAGACAGTTGTGAGCTGCCATGTAGGTGCTGGGAATTGAACCCAGGTTCTCTGGAAGAGCAACCGGTGTTCTTAACCACTGAGCTGTCTCTCAGCCTCCTCAGTGGAATTCTTAAGAACAGAAAAAGGGGAACTCTGTGTTAGAATGGGCTGGGATGCAGTGGTAAAGGAGATAGAGGATGAGGGAGAAGGGGAAGGAGACAAGGGAAATGGGGCAGGTATATTTGTCCTGGAGGGACAGAACACTTCGCTGGATAGAGGAGACACAAAGGTGGCACGTAGGCAAATGGCAGTTTATAAGGGTAAAGGAGGAAACCCCATGTTGGTATGAGGTGATTAATATTAATTGGGCATGTTATTCAGAAACCCAAAGCGGGCTTCTGATAGCTGGACTTCAATACCTGGACCTTGGGAGAAAAGCTCAGGAAGATAAATTAGCCAAATAAGGGAATAGACCTTGGTGACTATCTTTGGGGATGTAATCTAATGATTTTTTTTTAACAAGGCAGAAGCAATGGAAGAGAAAAGCTACGCCCACCAGAACCACCTTTTCCAGTGGGCTAGTGTCCCTCCAAAGAATTCAGTGCTGGAACTATCCAGTCCTCAGGGACTGTTAGAGGAAACTCTGACCGCATCAGTTTCAGCACTTGCTTATCGCCTGGCCTAGTTTTATGACATAGAAGTGTGAGTTGTTCACTGTTTCTACGAAATCATCCTTTTCTTCTTGAATTCTCATTCATTTTGTATCACTTTCTAAGGTACTCCATAAGGTAGCATTGAGGTCATTGACATAAATTGCAGTGTCCCCTTTTCAGATTTAATTCTATGACTTTGGAAGTTTACTGTCTTATTTGGATTAGTGAAGAATGGTTTGTCACTATTTGTGTCTTTTTACTGCAAGAAGTCTGTGCAATGACCCCTTGTATCCTTTGAATCTCTATATCATTAATTTCTACCCTGGGTATCCAACCTTCCAAAACCTCCAGAGTAATCAATCAGATGTGATAGAGAAGGGACAAGTTTCTACTTTAAATGGGTCCTGCTGGCCCAACAGGATTCAGCATATGGTCAGGAAATAAGTTGACTTGAAGGCTGAGAGTTAATTTTTCCTTAAGTCACATGTTGCTGCTGTGAATTCCACTGATTTCTCATGGAACCAGCTTCAGAATGGACACATCCTTATTCTGTTACTATTCCTAATTTCCTTCTCCTTTTGTTAGTTTTAAAACAATGAATTCTCCATTCCTGTGTCCTCTGATTTCTGCTGCATAGGTTCAGTGAAACAGGTGAATTATATCTGTTTCCTTCATCAAAATTGATAATTTCTCAACTATTGACTCATATTGTTGATGTCAGAGCTACACCTGGTTTTCTTTTTATTGTCTTAATATTCCTGATGATCTTATTAGTATCCTTATTTAGTTGTCATTCTCGCTTAGCTCACTGAGTACATTTTGATTTCCTAGTGTGATAAATATCCATCATTTTTTTTTTGAGAGATTTTGGTATTTCATTTTTTAGGTCTTTTGAACAGTTTCTGTGACAGTTGTTGAAATTTTATCTAAAGAAATTTGGAGCTGTTTGTTCTTTCAATGTGATAGAGCAATTTCCCCAAATCATGAAAGGTAAACATAGCACCAGTCCGTACAATGACCAGCATGATCAGGTAGAATGATGGTAGCATTAAATGACATCTTCTCTCTCATTGTTACTCTAAAGTGCTTGAGCAGTAGCAAGGACAGAAACCATCCAAATGTCTGTTAAATATCAAGAAAGCTATTGGATATGAGATACATGTAATGTCAGTGTAATAAAGTGCTATGTATATTCTGATGTCATGGTCATGAAAATGTGTAGTAACATTATCATGACATTCACAATGAGTCCTTAAGTTTGATATATGCTTTAGCATATGTATGTATGTATCTGTATGCACTTATGTGTATTTACATGTATATATGGCAGTAGACCCATGTCACACATTCTTACCTACACATAGAACTACAAAGTTGATTGCCAGAGAGGAAATCTATAACATCCTGGATCTGAGAGGTATCACCATAGTCATATATATTACTAATTGGGAACCTGAGAACTGCCTGGAAGAATACGAAGACACAGCTCTATTCAAGTTCAGGAAGATAGGTGATAGGACTTTGAAGGATCTGGCATAATCAGTGATTAATTCCAAGGGCATACCCTGAAATGGTTTGGTTCACTTTATTCCTAAGAACAGTCTCTTCTTGCTGGCAGCCATCAGGTAGTTTCTGCCATGCGTCCTGTCTTGACGGTGTCTAACACAATGGTTCTCAACCTGTGGGTCAAGACCCCTTAGGGGGTGAGTCCAACCACCTTTTATAAGGGGGATCACTTAGTACTAATGGAAAACATTTCTGATGATCTCATGAAGCGAGGCACCTCCTCTCTATCCATCTCCAGGCAGGTCTGCTCACATGCAGACATATCCACATATGAATACGCAGAACTGCTTTAAAGGCTCACAACTTTAGGAAAGTTGAGAAACACTTAAAACATTTAGCACAGACATTCCATTTATAGATGTATGGCCTGAATTGTAATGATCTACCTATCAGTGCATTCATGTGGATTTCAAGGGATCAGTATTCTCACACAAGTATGCATGCAACTTAGAAAACAGGTCCACATTTAAAGGAGGAGTAAATTGGTAAGATATATTTTACCTAAGTGAAGCATGTAAAACCTTCTTAGATGATAAGAATGACTGTAACTAGATCTGATGACAAGTTTATTATCAGTTTGAGAAAAAACTTGACAGATCGATGTGTATGTTCAAGACAGTATGACACACATGGTAAATACACGTACTGTACCTACCAGGTAGAATGAAAAAAATGTGACCAAATGGTCAGATGTTGTATTTTAGTGTGAGAGCTAAAGAAACTTCCATTTTAGGCATCCATCATGGTACCCACTAGCCATTTGTCTCTGACTCCAGTCTGGAAGATAAGTTCCCAGGAACCCTGACTCAGTGACTCCCACTCACCCTTAAAATGTACAGACATGACTATCTGCATGTTATGATATGACTATCTGCTTTTTTTTTTTTTTTAAATTCTGTAATGCAAAGCAGATACCCAGAGTTTCTTTTGAGTTGCCTTAACCATAAAGTTGGCAGAACAGAACAGTTTCTGCTGGCTTCCATAGACATCGAAGGTCTTCTTGTGGTTTCCCTCTGCGTAAACCTTCCTGTTGCTGTTTATTTGTACCCTATGTGAAGATGTGTTGCTTTGGTTTAATAAAAAGCTGAACAGCCAGTAGCTAGGCAGGACAAGATAAGTGGGATGTCTAGGTAGAGAGAGAAACTGTGGGAGGAATCTGAATATCATTACTTTTCAGTTTTCTTTCTAAGTGCCTTAAGATTTTTTATTTAGAAATGAATTCATGATTACTTAGTGTTATTGCTAGATCTTTTGGAAACAACTGGAATGCCTTAAATTACTAAATCATTTTTCAAATTGTCATTATTAATAAATAGAGAAAGTAGTAATTTTGTGTGTTAGTTTTATATTTTTTACTAACATGTGAAGCACTTAGCAAGTCTAAGATTTTCCTGTGGTGACTCTGGAAAGTGTTATGCATGATAATATCATCATTAAAAAGGAATTTGGTGCCTTTCCTACCAGTTACTTCATAATTCTTTTTTTCCTATTCAGTTTTTTTGAGGCTCACCCTTATGCCTCTAGATTCACTAAGACTGGAGAGCGCATCTTGTCTTACTCTCCCTTTGTTTTTTCTTGCTAATGCTATTCATTTCCCCCTGCACTCTTCTGGGGGCCTCAGTATAACATACCTTCCCTTTACTGTGTTCAGCTGTGTTCCATTTTTTCCTGTTTGCTTTAGGAGTTTATCATAAAATCTCCTGAAGTTTGTCTTTTGACATAACGGTTTCTACTGGTATTTATGCATCATCGGTCTTTTTTCATGATTTGTTTGTTAATATTTTTGTGAGTAAAATTGGGCGTAGTAATTTTCTTCCTTCTAATTAGAAATGGCAGTTTGCTGGTTGTGTGTGTTGGAAATAATCTGGTACTCCCTAGCTCTCCCGTTCATCTATTCCTTTTGTAAAATGCCTTATTTCCTGGGTTGTCATGGCTAATTTCTCTCTGATTTTTCTATGTAAATTTTGCCTCTAATTATGATCTATGGTGCAACCATAGATTTTTATAACGTTCGTATGTCCTTCCTTCTCCATGAAATTTAAGAGATCTTGTTTCTGGGTGCAATGATAAGGTTCACAGTGATTTTCTTTCACCACTCTAAATATATCCTTCCATGCTATCCTGTCTGGAGGAATGTTGACAAGATTTCTGGTATCATTTTCGTTATGGGGTCTTTTTATGTGGCTTGGCATTGAACATAACAGTGTTGTATTATTTTTAGATCTGCATTTTAACAAGTTGATATGAAATTTCAACAAGAATTCCAGTCTTTGTTTCTGAAAGAGAAACTCAGAGAAGAGCACCAAGAACAATGAATGCTTCTGTGGCTAAAGCTCCCCAGGTCAGTGTCATGTCCACTTTTCTCTGAAAATTGTTTTTATTGAAACCATTTAAATACTTAATTTCTACCATTTGCAATGTTAGTGAAAGTGTTTATTTTGCCTTATTTATCTGTATTTTTATTCTCTTATATTCAAGATTATAATTTAAATCTTTCATTCTTTGAATGGACCTGTGGCCTGTTATATTAGTGAGGAAGGATGGTCTCATGTACCACATAGTTGCATTTCTGGAATGGTCAGTTTTCCAGAAACAGGCTTATGAACGTGGACATGCCAATACAAGGACTTTTTCACTGACATCACTGAGAAATTTATAGAAAAGTAGAATTAGAAGAAACTCATTGTCTTGGACCATAATAGTAAATATTTTAACACCCTGGAGAACACAGATGATAGAAGTTATATGTTGCTTGCTTTTGCCAGAAAGTTGATGTGTCTGTGAAGAGATGAAGGTTGCAGTATTCTGGTTTCTCTTTTTGTCATATTATGTCATACAGTGATGATATGTGTGGTGACACCTGAAATGTACTTGTCTCATGAGACATTCTGCTCAACGCTCACTGGTTAGCTCTCTTTAGAAAATTCTTATTCTCTCTTTGTCTGATTTCATTTTTCAGAAGGGCCATAAGCACTGCTGTCTAGACCTTTGTATAGTATTATGTGGAATATATTAGTAAGAATTTTCTAGAGAGTACTGACTTGGTGCTGCATATAAGCCATCAATTTTCAAGCATACACAAATGTCCCTCTTAATTACTTGACTCTCTTCTTTTCTTTTGGCGAGAGAAGGTCTTCGCCAGCCTGTTTTTACTCTCCCTGCAGGTTTGTATTACACAGGGAGAAATTCTGAGGGGTTGTGCCAGTGTTTCTGTTTCTTTCATCACAATAACATTTAAGTATATGAGATGTCATCAGCATATTTTTATGTACACTGCATGATGCATTATGTCCCTGGATCCCTGAGTGTAGCGCCATACCCTTGGCACTGAAGTCAGACATTGTAGTTAGTTGCTATGTCTTTAGAGAGAAGTAAATTAGGTTTCTCTGTAGGAACAGCAAGTGCCTTTTACCTCTGAGCCATGCCATCAGGCTCCCAGTTTACATTTCTAGTGCACACTTGTGACAGTATATAACCATGTGTATTCTAGTTCTTGAAAAATGAAGGCGTAATCATAAGTGATACTTATCTATGCTAAAATCCTATTAGATGAATGAGCTCAATTACTGAAGAAAGAAGTTGGAATTAAGAGGCTTAAATTCCTTTGAGTCAATCACATGAGCAATAATATATTCAAAATTAATGAAGAGTTAGAATATTTCTCACTCTATTTAATACATTTGTTTTGATAACAGAATTTTTTTTTTTACTTCGTATGACTGCATTGTCACATGTGCCATTTATTTACATATGTATTTCTAATTATTTATTGAAACACCATATGGAATTTATGGAATTGTTATCAATACTGTTTGTGTCAACTTTTAGAAAAATTTAAATAACATTAATGTTGTCTAATTCTACTGTTTCTATTTACTTCATGGTTGTATATTTTCAAAAACATTGGATGTAGTCAATGATTTTATACTCCTTACTCTCAAGAAAATACTGACTTTTAATTCATCTATGAATTCTGCATTCTACATTCTACCTCTTTGTTTAGAAAGGGTGCAGCATTGTACCTAGGCCTCATAATCTCAACTGTGTATTTTAGAATAGGGTCAGGTGAACCCAGCTTCAGACAGGATTGAGCTAGTATACATATTTAAGTAAGGTCATCTGCTGTATAATTTGGAAGCATACTTTTGCTCATTATAACTTTGCCCTCTGAGATGTGACACTGAGATTCCGTTTGATAGCAATACATATTTTATATAGGTACATTCCTGCATCAAAACCTCAAATATGTATGTTATATTCCCTAAAAGTTTGCTTTTTGCAAGACTAATATGTCATTCTGTTTTCACAGAGATAGTAAATAAAGACTGGATTTTTTTAGAAGGTATCTTTTATTAAAATTAAATTGTAATTTTATTTTATATATTTCCATATATTTGCCCGAAAGTATGTGTGTGTACTATGTATGACTCCTACCTATAAGGTTCAGCAGAGAGCATTAGATCTCATGGACATGAGAGTAAAAATCAGTAAATTCTGTTTTTTAAGTGGCATAAGTATGCTAGTCCCCAAACTACATTTTCTAGGACTTTACAACATGACAGACTGCAAACTGGAGACAAATTTTTCAAATATAGTGATTGTGGCAAATCTTTCATCTGCTATTTAAGTCTTAGGAAACTTCAGACTATTCATGGTGGACAGAAACCTAATGGATGTAAGCAATGTACTATGTCCTAAATATTGTCTCAGAAAGAGTAGCAATGCAGCACTTCTAGAAAACTCTTGTCCTTTAAACATTGCCATGCTTTACCTATATCACAAACATGTCTTTAATTCTTTTACCCAAGAAATCATTTGCCAATCAGTTCATGATCAATATGTAATTTTCCATTGTAGGGTCTGTTATCATTCAGGGATGTGGCTGTGGACATCTCACAGGAAGAATGGGAATGTCTAGATTGTGCTCAGAAGGCTTTGTACATGGATGTGATGTTGGAGAATTACAACAATCTACTCTTTGTGGGTAAGAATGCTCTTCTCGGAGAATTCCTGATTCATCCTTTTTGTTTACCTACTTTGTGTATATGGAAACTCTCTGATCTGAGAGAATTCTTGAAATGAGGGAAATTCTGGTTCCCAACATAACTTTTTTTTTTTTGGTTTTTTGAGACAGGGTTTCTCTATGTAGCTTTGTGCCTTTCCTGGAACTCACTTGGTAGCCCAGGCTGGCCTCGAACTCACAGAGATCCGCCTGCCTCTGCCTCCCAAGTACTGGGATTAAAGGCGTGTGCCACCACCGCCCGGCCCCCAACATAACTTTTTAATGGTGCTTCATTTACATTTTTCTGTGTCTTCTAAAAGAGTAACCAATGCTATATTCTCTGTGATCTCTTCAGTCCTCCTATCTAATATATAAAGAAAATTATTTCAAAGTTCAAAGAATATTGAATATTCAGAGTAAGGAATATATTTTATTTTAATTTTCCTACTGGATTGAACTCTTCACATATTTCTGATTTTAAACAACTCAGAAAGTTTTAGAGAAAGAGCTGTTCATTATGAGAATGTTTGTGTTTATTTTTGAGATGCGGTTGCTATGTTTAGTATTTGCACAGAATGATTTTAATATTTGCACATGGGAGGCTGAAGCAAGAGCACATGGTGAGTTCCCTGCCACCTGTCTTAAAAACATAGGAAATAGGGAAACATTCTTCATATATTCCTTCACAGAGCTTCTCTCTCAAAGATCTTTACTGCTCAAACACCTATTTGTCTTACCAGCTATGAGGTACAGTGTGAAGATAAGAATGCAAAGGCTATGCCTGGGACTGACCTAGGTCCTCTACATATGTATGGCAGTTGTTTAGTTGGGTCTGTTTGTGGGAATCCTGGCAGTGGGATCAAGGCCTTTCCCTAACACTTTGGCTTGCTATTGGGAAGCTATTCCTCAGAGTGGGTTGTTTTGCTGAGCTTAGTCCTACCTCAACTTAATATGCCATGCATTATGGACACTCATGGGAAGCCTGCCTCTTTCAGAAAAGAAACAGGAGGAGTTGATAAGGAGACAGAGAGGGAGTAGGGAGAGGGACAGATGGCAAGAGGGAGGGGAAACTGCAGTTGGGATATCAAATAAATGAAAGACATAATAAGTGGAACAAAAGAATGAGTAGGCTATAATTGGTCCCTGTGGTTTGATATAGATCAGATTGGAGATTCTTATGAGCATCCACTTAATGACTATGAAACAGAAATATCCTCTGTTAAGAGCTCTGCCCCTGAAAGTTACTAGTTTATTTGTCATTGTAAACCTAAGAAAACATCAGTTATTGAATCTGTTACTCATGCATTACTTGCTATTATCCCTAATTACACTATTTTTCAGAGAACCATTGCATATGTGGTAAATATGAGAAGGTCTTGCATCAAGACACAAAGCATTTCATCCATGAGCATGAAAATGTCAAAGAGAAGTCTTATAAATGTAATGAGCTTGGCAAAGTGATTCATGAATTCTGCCAATGTAGATCTTATGACACAAGTGATACTGCAGAAAATTACAAGTACAGCTTTTTTAACCACAGAGATGCCTTTGTTGAAACCTTAAACCTCAACAGACACAAAAGTGGGAATGCTGGAGAAAAACTTTGCAAATATAAAGACTGTTTAAATTTGTGTTCCATCATTAGCGAAAATCAAAGAACTCATGCAGGAAAGAAAGAACACAAAAATACAGAGTATGATACATCTTTTGACTCTAATGCAGAAATCATATTGAAACAAACTGATAGCAGGAAGAAAGCACATCAATGCAGGAAATGTGGGAAATGCTTCAAGACTCATTCAAGCCTCATTGGGCATCAGAGAGCCCATACCAGAGAAAAATCTTATAAATGTTTAAAATATAGTAAATCTTTTCTGCATTTTTCACAACTCAAAGTACATTACAAAATCCGTTGTAGAGAAAACCCCTACAAATGTACAGAATGTGGTAAGTGCTTTTATCATTTATCAAAGTTTAAAAGACATTGCAGGATCCATGTTGGAGAGAAACCTTACAAATGTAGTGAATGTCACAAATCTTTTAATGAAAAAGGCCATCTTAGAACTCACCAGAGAATCCACACAGGAGAGAAACCTTACAAATGTAGTGAATGTGGCAAATCCTTTACCACAAAAGACAATCTTAGAAGTCATCAGAGAATCCATACAGGAGAGAAACCTTACATATGTAGTGAATGTCACAAATCGTTTATCACAAAAGACCATCTTAGAACTCATCAGAGAATCCACACAGGAGAGAAACCTTTCAAATGTAGCGAATGTGACAAATCCTTTACAAGTCGCTCACATCTTAGAATACATCTGAAAAGACATAGAGGTGAGAAACCTTTCAAATGTAGTGAATGTGACAAATCCTTTACTGAGAAAGCGACACTAAGAACTCATCAGAGAATACATACAGGAGAGAAACCTTACAAATGTAGTGAATGTGAGAAATCCTTTAGTGCAAAAGGGACATTTAGAATTCATCAGAGAGTACATACAGGAGAGAAACCTTACAAATGTACTGAATGTGACAAATCTTTTACTAAGAAATGGACGTTTAGAACTCATCAGAGAATACATACAGGAGAGAAACCTTATAAATGTACCAAATGTGAAAAATCATTTACTGGGCGAGGCAGTCTTAGAACTCATCTGAGAATCCACACAGGAGAGAAACCTTACAAATGTAGTGAATGTGACAAGTCCTTTACCACAAAAGACAATCTTAGAAGTCACCAGAGAATCCACACAGGAGAGAAACCTTTCAAATGTAGTGAATGTGACAAATCCTTTACCTGGGGCCCATCTCTTAGAATACACCAGAGAACACATACAGGAGAGAAACCTTACAAATGTAGTGAATGTGACAAATTCTTTACTACAAAAAGCAGTCTTAGGACTCATCAGAGAATACATACACTAGAGAAACTTTAGAAATGTACCAAATGTGAGAAATCCTTTTCTGTTGGTTTAGCTCTTAGAATATGTTCTAGGATACTTGATCACACTGTGAAACCCAAGTGTTAATAATATCAACCTTGAATTGGGACAGGACCAAGAACTCATTGGTGGGAAATAGCCGTAGAGAACACGGAGGGATATGGAAGACAAGAAGAAGTAAGGAGTGACTTGCAGTTTTGTGGTCCTCTGGTTTGAGATGGTTGGAGAGACACTTCCTTGCTGGGTCTCTGGCCAAAAAGGCCATTTAGTTGTTTCTTGGCCTCTGAACTAGCAGGTTTTCACCCCAACATCTGACTTCCAAGTTTTTACTGGTAAATAGTACAATAGAGACTTAGTTAAATACTGCATATGATGGCTAACGCCACAGCCAGTGCCATTGGAACCACCAAGCCACAGTCTGAGCAACAGTGTAATGCAGGGCATGGGTCCACAGTCAGGTGCATCTGCTAGGCTGACAGAAGAACATGAACACATCAGAGAATACATAGTATTCTTACAAATGGAGTGAATGTGAGAAATCCTTTACTATTTGCTCATTTCTTAGACTCCATAAGAGAATTCATTCAGGAGAGAAACCATACAAGTGTAATTAACTTAGTTTGGGATTTATTGTTCTGAAGAGACACCATGACCATGGCAATTCATTTAAAGGAAAGCATTTAATTGGGGCTGGCTTACAGTTTCAGAATTTAGTCCATTTTCAGTTTTAGTCCATTATTCTCATGGTGGAAAACATGACATGCAGGCAGACATGGTGCTAGAGAAGGAGCTTAGACATCTATCTATATCTTGATCGGGCAGCAGGATGTGAGTTGTTTAATAGGTGTGGCTTGAACATATAGGAGACCTCAGCAGCTGCCTTGATGATCACACACTTTTTCCAACAAGACCACACCCACACAAATGAGGCTCTACCTCCTAATAGTGCCACTCCTTATGGGCCAAGCATTCAAACTTGGGTCGATGGGGGCCATACCTGTTTAAACCACCATAATAGTCAATATCAGAAACCATTTTATCTACAAAAATCACCCTGAGAAGACATCAAAGGATTTATATGGGAGAGACAACTTAAAAATGTAAAGTATGCGGAAAAGTCTTTACTAGCCTCTCTGGTGTAAGAAAACATCTGAAAATTCATACCAGCAGGAAAGTTTCCTTGGGAAATAATTTGGCATGTGCTTAAACCAAGCTCTGTTCTTAGTTGTACTTGAGACTCCACACTAAAGAATCATTATGAACATGAGAATTTTGTGAAAGCCTTTAAGTTATTTTCAAACCTTAGAAAATACCATGAGTTTATGCAGAGCAAACATGTAGGACAATTTTCATCAACTTTTTATTTGTTCCAACTCAAATACTTCATAATGAAGACAAAATGCAGAAACTTCAAGTATATGCTATTGTGTAATAGTTTCCTGGAGACTGGACTGATACATTTTGAAGGGAATCTGATTAAGGCAGGAAATACACCACTCAAAACAGATTCAAGAAATCTCTGAAACTGGCAGAATTCAGACATCTTAACTCAAATGAAGAAACTCAGAGAAGTCATGCCCCTTGGAGGAGGATTTTAGCCATCAATATAGGATGCTCTTTAGATATGCCTATAGGTGTACAATGTGCTCCAGGTATGTATTATTCATAAGCTGTATCACATTGTGGTTTCAACTTTCATGATAGCAATGATGTTTCATTCCCTTATGCTCCAGTAACTAACTGCTTCTCCATATTCCTGTAAGCAATCCCAATAAAGCTATTAATTAAAAAAAGTTGGACTTGATTCTGTTTTCAGTTTCCAGGTGTGGTGAGTAGATGCATATGCATGTTGCATCTCCCCAAGAAATGTTTCTCATAAACATGTGCTGAACCCATTAATTGTCCTCCAGTTGCTGTAAACAGGAAATTGATAATATAGTAACAGTTCTCAACCTGTGGGCCATGATTCCTTTGGGATTAAAAGACCCTTTCACAGGGATTGCCTGAGATATAGAAAAATATATTTTCAATGATCTTAGGAACTAAGATCCCATGTTCTGCCCACATGCAGATACACCAACATAGAAGTGCATGGGACTGTATTAAAGGCTTCCAGCATTAGGAAAGTTGGAACCACTGTATTGGAGAAAAGGCTTTTATCTGAGTCTACAAAAATAGGGAAGGTTGTACTTAATGCTGCAGGGTTGCATTCATAGCAGTACTTTGTTAAGTTATAAAGGGTTCACACATAGAATGTTGGGACTTTGGAAATCTCAGATAGAAGGCTGCTTTCTTCCGTGCATTCAAGGAGCAGTGGGAGAGAAGTCTGCAAAAGGCTAAATGGAAATATAGCTACTAAACTGTCATTGACAGACATCATCCAAATGGTTGTATTCCTGAATAGCTTTGAACTCATGCTATTATCCCATGATTTAGCCAACTCCAATAACGTTGAGAACA